GACGTTGATAATGTTTGCACTGATATCACTAACAGGATGAGTGATGATTGAATCTGCGTCCATTCGGTGATGTAGCTGCTAGATTTTTTTTTTTGAGATTAGCGACCATCATCTATTGCATCACTGACGAATTGAGCAGTTCAGCTGCGGAAAATTTGAAGTGCACCTCAAAGAAAATATCTCACAAGGAAGGTCTGATTAGTCGTCAAAACAGATTGTGACGAAGGAACATGGAAAATTGTGTTATGGATCATTTTCACTTTCTGTCCAACTGACCTGTGAGCCCAGATAAACGAAATTAAAGAAATCTGAATTTGTCGCCCACATCAATGTCATAATAATTTTTTTCACTTCACTCTTAGCGTGGCTGAGTGGCGGAATGGGTTAATGGTTAAAGCATAAGGTGGTTGGCTCACGGCTGCGTGCTTTTTGCAATTTTCAAATCGTGGTGATAAAAAAGTTGCGTGTTTCTGAGCTCATATTTGGAACTCCATTTCACGAAGAAGTTTATCACAGTGCGACTGTCTGAGACAACAGTGGTTCCTAATTGGTATTAATCTTGTGTTACTTGTACTTTAATTTGATAAAAAGAGCTATCCAGATGCGGATCGTGCGCAAAGGAGAATAATGCTTCGATTCATATCACAGGAATTGCGAAGAGTGTTTCTCCTGAAGTTCAGTAAGAGTGACATTACTTTAGACCAGTGATCCTCATAGGGGTGAAATTACCAAATTTGGGTAATTTGGAGGTGTCATGGGGTAATGGAGGGAAATAATATTTAGTGCAGTTGTCATGTTATGATAGAACGCCATTGTGACGATGTTTTTCTTCTCGGATATGTAAATGCTGTACTTGATGGCAACATTGAAGTTACATCTGTTTGTCATTAAATGCCGTTTTGACGGGGTTTTCATTCTGTTCCTTGCTGTTACAATCGCTCTCATAGCTTTTATCACCAAAAGTGTTCTCTTCTGCTGATTTCTCATTCATTTCACTGAATAATTAAAGTTAACTTCTCATTCTATCAAATGCACTCTATAATTGTTCGTTTGACTGTCGAACGTTGTTGAGCAAATCAATTCAATCACTGTATTGTTGATTTCGGTTGTCAACAATCGTTAACGCGTCCAGTAAATATTATATACTACAGAATGAGAAGTTTATTTGAACGATAAAGTTAAACGATATGAAGTGAATGAGAAAAACTCATCAACAGAACGGTATTCGCATGTGATAGCGATGAGAGCGAATACAACACGCCCGAAAAGAATGAGAATCCATCTAAATCAGTTTGAAGTAAGCGTGTCATGGACAATAGCTTTTCGTGCAATCATATTCGATTGCAATACTGAGGAACTCAACGGTCTAAGAAAAGGCCCAGCGGTATCGACTACTACCATGGATGTGCTTGTAAGATCGAACGTAACGGTCATCTGAACATAATATGTGTGNATAGAGAGAGGGGGAGGGGGGGGAGGGTAACGGCGGCTTGCCAGATCATCAGAGCGGTAATGGAGCACCTGAACGTGAGAACCACTGTTCTAGAGAATCACTTTACGCACCTCCTCTGATACGAATCGCAGCATTGCGTATGAACTTTACCTGAATAATGCTTTTCATTTAACTAACAAAAGACGGGGTTATTACGAATCAGCGATCATCTCCATCATGTACAATCGAACTGAGATAAGCTTCTTTATGGACTAGGTTCCAATTATGAGCTTCGGAACTTTTGATTTTTCATCGTCAGAAGAAAAATCGCAAAAACACTCATCTACTTATTCATGTTGATTTCGAATTTAAAAAATTATCATCATATTGATTTGCAAATTTCTAATGGTGCTGGTTTCCTTCCTATCGTTTGCGACGACTAATCAGATCTCCATTGTTAATAATAAAATCTTTTGGACAAGGATTATCGTAAGAGAGGCTTCTTTGAAATCCTATATGAAATGATCAATTTTCCAAGAGCATGATGAACAGAGTGATCGATTTCAGTACTCCCGATGTACAGGCTGCTTAAGAATTGATAATTTATGTAATATTAACAAGATTATACGATGAACTTTCAAAACTTATGCGAAAATTTGAACTTGAAGATAGTTCAGTGTGTAATGAGCCTGATCGTGAGTGAAATTGGCAGTAAAGTAATTCGAAGGATTTTCAATGCTTCTTTACATATTGCAAGTGCATCGCTGTACAATTAGCTATGAAATGAGAAATGCTGCGCTAAGATTCCTATTAGTGTGAAACACTTCCAGGAGGTGCACACATATTTGACGAAACGAGATTATGCTAACGTATTTCAATCGGAAAATAATAGCGAGTCGCTATAGAAGAGTTATTTTTAGATTTATCTCCGAAGCGATGGTAATGATTATGATTGATGTCGGCAATTTGCTCGTCGTATTCAATGCAACGGCAAATTTCTTTATCTATATTTCTTTCTCAGAAGCATATCGCGTCTCACTGAAGAACTGCTTCCGAAGTTGTTCGAAAAAGAGAAAAAGGTTGCAAGCACTCATCTAACGTGTGTACGATTTAAAGCGGAACTCATTCAATGATGAACAATGTAACGCCTCGAATAAACACATCTTTCTTTCTCTTACCAAAAAACATTCATTATCCTGGAGCTCGTATCTTTGGATTGAACAGTTTTCTATTTAGGAAAGAGAACACTACTTTCGAAATTTCATAAAAACTACTTTGCTTTATTCACTGATTCTATTCGAAGTATAACGGATTGCCCTCAATTACAATTCATTTTGATTGTTGCGATTGACAGTTAGAGCGTTTTGTCGTGTCAACTTTGGGTGATCATGATCTAGCGGATGCTGAACCCTGAAAACGGACATAGCATTATGAACGCATTCAATTAATTGTAACCTATATCCGGTGTTTATAATGAATCGTAGCCATTCAGAATTTATTATATTCGTTCTCTGCTATCCAACACTGACAAAGTTCTCAACCATCAAAGCTTTATGCCGTTGTGCCAGTGATAGATAATTAAAAGCCGAATTTTGTTATTTTCAGGTGGTCTGAATTATAGAAAAGAAACAAGTAATTACAGTTCCATTACTACATCATGCGATATCAAACAAAGTAGTAAGGAAATTGCTGAATCTTAAGATCGCCCTTAAACCAGACACTCGAAACCACACTGAAAGACGCCACTTTTCAAGGATCTATATGCTGTGCATTTGTGATAGTTTGTCAAAACACTTATTGTCTTTTCAATGAACAGCAATCTGAAAATGTTTTAATGAGATCGAAATGCATCTACACGTCTTGAATACTCATCCGAAAAAGCGAAAATTTCGAAAGTCATTATTAAAGGTTTTCGAAACCAAGAGGAGCGCTTTGAAACTCGCTGACATCATTCGCATTCGTACCATGAATCTGGTTATAAGAACTATTTCGATACAGCTTGCTGCTCGGTGAAGGTACTTTTGCATCATTGTGTTACCTGCATTAACGATTCTGAGTGAATCAACAGTGATCTCATTAATAATTCATGATTTGGTGTGAAATGAATCAAGTCGAAAATATTGACGACAAGGCAGATTACTGAGACTGCTGGACGGCTCATGAATGAAGCAGTTATCCGTTGTGCCTTCTTTTTGATTTGTCTCAACAGTTAGTGGAATCAAAAAAAAAACAATCATGAAGAAAAATTTGAACATAGCATATATCCTTTATCGAAAGCATACATCGGTTGAGCCGACATTTCTTCACGAGGAAGTTTTGAAATTGTTATGCATCTCTTGAAACTTCAATTTGTACGTCTCATAAATGAGTTGAGTTTCTTATTTCAATAATGATTTACGTGGTATTTAACAACATATAATAAGATATTCAGACTGGATGCCATTAACCTCTGAAAACCGATGAAACATTTTGCCTAAGCACTTGCAAGAAAGTAGTCAGGATTTTCTTAATGTTCAATGTTTTTTCGTGATGTTCAATGTGATGTTTTCGTATTTTCGTTTTCGTAATGCTAGTTTACAATCTCTCTAATCTATCCTCACTCTTTTTAATAAGATTAATAAAGAGTCGACTCATTTGGAAGTTTCTGATGTTATCACCA